AAATGGCAAGCACCCCAGGTATGCATTACGCGCTGTTCATGAATTGCGCTCGGGCTGCTGCCACTCCCTTGTTTACGCGCAGGTACACCACGACCTCAGAGACCAAAGATATGATTGCTGAACGAGATCGCTCGCTTCGGGTTCGAGCCCAACTACGTCGCACACACGCCCTGCGACCTGACAGTGCTATTCTTCCTCGGCTGCGCCGCCTGAGTGCTCAACTCACACTTGTTCGACGACGCAGACTGGCACAGGCTAAGCAGCTCCGACAGGATTCTCTATTAGAAGCGTTACGCCGAGGGGACCACGCAGTAGCACATCGAATGGCCAGAGCACTCACATATGCAAAGGTGGGCGCAAAGAAGCGGGTTTATAATACACTACTGACGAGATCGGCATCTTCCGAAGAGTGGTACCAAGCGCTTTCCCAGGACGGCCCAGATAAAGGATTTCTAGCGACACGCGCGCCAGCGCCCACAGAGTATAAGTTCCCCGACGACCTGTATAACCCAGTTCATCAGCGACAACTGGTGTTCGGTCAATTTCCAGGGACAGCTGGCCTTTTCCCAGGACCTCCTGGAAGTAGCGCGTGAGCAGATGCAGCGTACTCTACACCTACTACACAAAGCTAAACGGCGAAGATACGCACCAGAATGGAGTATCCCCACTGAACTGTTCATCGTGATCGCCTCCCCGAACTACATGTCTCGACCAGCTCGGCCCAGCGGAGGAATTGGAGATGCACGTGCGCCCGAGGGCATCCACTTTGACGGAGCCCGCATTCGTGAAGGAGATACGGACGAACTCCGCGCACGTGGACGTCGTCTCTTTCCGCTGGAAGGGATCGAGCACGCAGGAGAAGGAGCGAATCGTTTCTTCCAGATCCACGTGCACATCTGCCGAGCGGGTGCAGTACCGCAAGTGGCCAATCAAAGCGAGGTGTGCATCCTGTCGAAGACGAAGACCTTCGCCCCGCTCCCGAAGATCCACTCCCCCGAGTACTTGAAGATATCAGCCGCGGGATCCGCGGTGTCGTGCTGCAGGCTTATCCATGCGATGTGCGGCTACTGGCGGTGCTTTTTTTTCAGAGCGCTCCTCATGTACGAGTGCGTCGCTTACCGCCCGCCACCGTGGGCTTGGGGAGGCCTGCCAAACCAGCGACGAGAAGCTGCGATCGCCATCCTCAGAATGCTTTTTGGGAAAGCGAAGGCGGCGAGACAAAGCTGCGTGGGACGCAGTCGCGATCTCACGAATGCCTTTGCTTGTGGCGCACACGCGCGCCGCTTCAATCAGATCAGCGAGTGCGTGCCCTTTCACCTTCGGCCACTTTTTCGTCAGCGACGTGGTATGCTTAAGACTCGCCTCCGAGCTTTTGATGGAGATTTGTGGCTACGCATGGGCTGCGGCGGCCCCATGGGATGCAGCAGCGAGCCCGAGCCCTTCATGAGAGACTACTACGCGCTTGTTGAACATTGGAGGAGCTCGAGAGCAGCTACGACGTCGGCTCCCTGGATGATCACGGATTTTCCTGAATTTGGCGACATCGACCCCGGCCTTGTGGGATTAATCGATGACTTGTTTCGCATGATGCTGCTGTCGCCTGGCACACCATCAGAGTGCACCGCCTACTTAAACGCAGAGGGCGACGCTTTTGATGAGTGGCTTCAGCGAGGAGGCTACAAGCAGAACCGAACGAAAGAGGAGATCATCGTGTCCTTGGACACCCGCCAACATGTGCATGACCTTGCCAAGCACGAACAGCTTCCTTCTGTTCTTTTGCATACCCTCCGCCATCTCGGCGGATGGACGACGCCTGCCTGCGCGAACACGACTGACGTGGAAAAAAGATTGCAAAGCATGGCGATCGGTTGGTGCGGTTACTCAGGAGCCTGGGGAGACCCCAAGATCCCCAAAGACTTCAAGCGTCTTTTGTTTCTGGGGGTCGTCTATAATGCTAGCCCGAGTGGTTTGGAAACCAATGTATTGACGAAGGGGGAGGGGGGCAAACTTGATGGAGCTGCCGCACGTAAACTTAGGTGTATGATGAAGGGAGCCGCTTCCTGGAGGGACCCCAGCGGCCAAATCAAACAGATGAGCAACATGGACGTCCTGAAGTATTGGAACTTGGCCCCCGTCTCCCTGGCCCTCAAAATCCGTAGGATTACATGGTATAAGCATGCGCTACGATATCGACATCAGTCTCGCCAGTGGTGGGCCACTTTACTAGGACGCTGTCGTTTCGAACGAGACCGCGACCGGGCTAATGAGCTAGGAGATTTGGATTTGCCAGTCGCCCCGCCCACGATCGTCGAGGGACGCATCAACATGAATCCAAAAGCGAACCCATGGGCCCGTCAGTTCTTCAAGGATCTCCAGGACCTGGCCGAGGATGAGGAGGCGGGGGAGTTTAACGAGCTTTGGGAGGATCGTCGTGTCGAAACACTGTTCCAGGTGAACGTCGTCACAGCCTTGAGACATATCGACGAGCGACGCTTGCTTAGGAAATTCTCGAGTGCCGCTATTGCACCACCATCGTCGACACCACCGCCACCACCACCTGCTGCCTTCAATGGGGGCGAGGGTCCAGGCGATTACGTATGTGGGTTGAACATGGAGGGAGGAGCTATATGCCAACATCGAGCTAGAACACAAAAAGGGTTGCTTGCACATCAGTGCTCAGCAGCATTGGGTGGTGAGCACGGTCGGCCAAACATATTGTACTTACTCGCGACTTCTAATCGATGCTTGATATGCTCCACGGTATTTAAGACGACACATGAAACATATATGCACATCAAAGAGTCCTGGAAATATTCACGATGTTATGCGACACGCACGAGATTCCCGCACGAGTTCATCGAACCGCCAGATCGCACATGTCCTGCGTGTTCCGTAGCCCAAGAATTCGAGACCTTTGAGGACTTTTTTCGCACATGCCAACACCGCCGTCTGGTGAACTGTGTGTGGTCGTGCGCGATGGCGACGCCCGACTGGCTGCCCAAGATGCTGAGCGAGCCGATGGACGCGGGCATGCCGCAGGCGACGGGCCGCCGCGCTCGGGAGGAGGGGATCGACGTCGAGGCAGCCGAGGGCCCGCGGCAGAAGGGAAGCCGGGTCAGCCGTCCCCAGCGCCGCCAGCGCAGGCGCAACAAGGAGCAGCCGAAGGCCGTGCAGATGGCCGACGGGGGGATGAAGGCCATGATCCTGGTCATGTTGAAGCAGCTGATCATCAACACCGAGCAGTTGCGCGAGATTCGGGGCCAGTTGTACGATACGTACCTCTTGGAGGCCAAGGCGAAGCCCGTGGTGTCCATGCAGCAGGGGGGAGCCGCTTACGCGGCCGCCGTGAAGGAGAAGGGCAAGGGCCACAACCTCGGCCCACCAGCCGCGACCGTCTTTGTGTACCTCTTGAAGGCGCTGATGGAGCTGGAGGTGGGGGGCCAGAATCGGAAAGGCCTGGAGCAGCTGCTGCAGCGGATCGAACATTTCGAACCGTGGGACTTGGTGCAGATGTGCCACGTGTGCCGCCTGGAGAAGTGCTACGACGAGGGCAAGATCAATATCGTGCTGGCGACACCCGTGGCCGAGGTGCGCAAGTTGCTGCGCCAGTGCATGGAGCAGATCGGAGCGACGACGACGATCGGCCAGGCTCCCGCGGGGTATCTGGAGGAGGAGATCGGAGCCTACGTGGACATGATCGGCTCGTCCTGAGCCGCTCGAGGACTGCAGCCAGCGCCCGTGCTCCCGCCAGGAGCCCGAGGAGGAGCGGGGGGGAGGTGGGTGGGGGAGGTCAGACCTCTCTTGCGAGTTTCGGTTTCAGGCGGCGCCCTGATTGAGGGGGTGACCGCGGAAACCCCGTTCTCAGTCCGTCGGGGGGCGGGCTTTTTTACCCGTATCAGGGATCACGCTCTGGGGCGTGACAGCGAGGCGATTGCGAATAGTGCTGAGTGTCGAGCTCTTTCGGTTCACTGGCGACACCAACATCGTGAAACGGTCCTCTAAGCTGCCGAATAAAAAAATAACCTGCTTATACGGGTTGACTGTGCTAGCTTGTACCTCTCTCTACCCGCTGCACCCTCCATATTCCACCTCCTAATTACTTATCCTCCTCCTCCTCCTCCTCCTCCTCCTCCTCTTCCTCCTCTTCCCCCTCCCTCCGCCCTGAAGACCTGCTCCGTCACCCCCCACCCTTCATCCTTCTCTACGTCCCGAAGGCCTGCCTCTCCATCCCGTGACATCCGCCAGCGTGCGTATCTGTGAAAATTGCGGCCCCAGAGCGGGGACTCCCGACCCCTTCTCCGGGGGTGCTTATCCGCCCCGGATCTACATGTGAGGCGTTCCAATAAACGGCTTCGCCTTCGAGGATCCAGGGGGTCGGCACCTCTTCCTCGGCGGAAGACGGCGGAGGTAAGCTGGGCCGCCTCCGCCTGCGGAAGCCGGCGGAAACCAAAGTCGAACTCTCAAGAGGGGACAACATGTTTGGGTTCAGGGTGTCCAGGATCCTCGGGCGCCCGAGTTATTCGAGGTAACCTGGGTCCGGGGTGGCTCGAGTTTGGATTCCCGAAACACGCACCCGAGTGAGCCCTGACCCGAGCTACCCCTGATGATTTGGGGCTCCGGACGCCCGAATTATCCGGGGTAGCTGGGGTCGGGTAGCTCGGGGTCGGAATTCCGAAAAACGAGCCCGAGTTAGCCCTGACCCGAGTTAACCCTGACGATCGCCATCTGATGGTCCCAGAGTCTGGTGACGGGCCCCCAGAGGCAAACATCTGGGGAGAGCGCTCGGGGGAAAAGATGCATGTCGGAAACCTTGGCCCCCCTCGCTCCTCCCCCCTTCAGGAGTGGACAGACACAATGAGTCGTCGAATCCCGGGGAAAAATCTGGGAAGTGGGGGGGGGGAAGACGAGAATCCAGAAAGTATGGGACATCTTGGGATTTGTGTCTATTTATTTGCGCGCCCCTGGGCCCCATTCCCCCTCGTCCGCCCCCCCGCGTGGAGGGCCAGCTGGGCACTGGGGCGCTCAGCGAGTGCGAGGAGGTGCCCGCGCTGGCGCTGGTGGAGCGAAGCCTCGAGGGGTGCGCCCGGGGGGCCAGGGTGTGCCCTGTGACATCCTCGCGCCGTGAGCCCAGAGGCCCGACTCTCCAGAAGAGTTGGAGCGGCGGGATTCCAACAGTTTTCGGCCTCCAGGGGCCCTCGCCGGGCCTCGGGAGAGTCAAGACACGGCTCGGGACGAAGAACTGGCCCGGGGGAAGTGGTCCAGACCTCCGGGACCCACGCATCGGAAAAGTTGAGCGGTTGGACGTCTGGGAACAAACATCACGACGCAAGGATGTGGGCAAGTCTTGACGCGCCGCGTATCCCCACAGGCCCAGCCAGAAGCAGATCGCCCTGCGAGTTGCCTGGATCGGGGAAGTGTAGACGAGTGCAGTGCACCAACCGCCTTGGACGCGTTTTCTCGGAGCCCTCTTGGAGCCATCTTGGAGCTCTCTTGGGGTCCTCGCGGAGCCCTCTTGGGATTCTCTTGGGGCCTTCTTGTGGACTTCTTGGGGCTGTCTGTGGTGGTCTTGGAGGTCTCTTGGGGCCGTCTCGGGCCCCAGGGCTCAAAAAGAGTGGGGATAATGATTTCAGGCCCTTGGGCCATGTGGGGGCCATGTGGAGGCTTCAAAAGCCAATCGGAAGCGAAAAGGCGAACACGCAACAAAAAAAATGTTCCCAAGGTTCTGGAGCTATTCGGGCTTCTTGGGGAGGTCCTTGGAGGACTCGAAGAGCACTTGCAACCGTCTTGAGTTCTCTTGGATGTGTATCGAAGGTTATCTTGACTCATCTGGTGCTATCTGGAGCAATATTGGGTACCATCTTGCGCTCTCAGAGGCCCTCTTGGAGCCAGCTTGGGCCATCTTGGACGCTCTAACCCCCCGCGGGGCGCCCCTTCCAGGCCCAGAGGTGGGGGTAATTAGGGGGAGGGGTCCAGCTACCCACCCGCCCGCAAGCCGTCTAGCTCACTCCCACCTGCCCTCCCAACATATCAGTAACACCCGAGCCTGAGCCTGTTCAGCGGTCGTCTTTGGATGGACAGCTACTGGGAACCAAAGCCGACCCCATGTGCGCGACGCCTGGACGAGGTGCGCCACGCGTGCCAGGGGCGCCAAGCGCGCCAGGCACCCCTGGGGCCCGAGCGTGCCAGGCACGCTTGGTGCGCCAGATGCGCCGAGTGCGCCAGGTGTGCCGCACGCTCCAGCCGCGCCAGGTGCGCCTCGTTCGGGGCACGTGCAGGGTGTGTCAGGTGCGCCTGCGCATGTGACAGAACACATCGGGACACATGTCGGCCCCCGCCATCCTTGTCGAAAACCGATGCCCATCATTGTGTCTGGTTGGCCTGCGCACAGCAGGCCACGCGCCGCCACCCCCGCCGTCCCTGTCAAACACCAGTTGACAGTGATCGCGGGATGGCCGTGCATGGTCCAGATTTAGCCGCGATGTGCATGTTGTGTTGTTTCTTTTGTCAGGGATGGTAGCTCTGCGCACAGCGCAGATCTGAGCGGGACCTCGCCGTCCCTGGGGGCTGCGATCTGCGAAACCGTCGCCGCTTTCGAGAGCTGCTGGTGGGTCCAGAGGAGTGAAGCACCTTGCAGATCTGAGCGGGACCTCGCCGTCCCTTGGGGGCTGCGATCTCGGAAACCGTCGCCACTTTCGAGGGCTGTTGGTGGGTCCAGCGGAGTGAGGCAGGCACTGCACAGATCTGAGCAGGGCCTCGCCGTACCTGGGGTGGCTGCGATCTGCGAAACCGTCGCCGCTTCTGAGGGCTGCTGGTGGGTCCAGCGGAGTGAGGCACCGCGCAGATCTGAGCGGGACCTCGCCGTCCCTGAGGGGGCTGCGATTTGCGAAACCATCGCCTTTTTCGGGGGCTGCTGGTGGGCCCAGCGGAGTGCGGCACCGGGAGGATCTGAACGGAACCTCGCTGTTCCCAGGGGGCTGCGATATGCGAAACTGTCGCCACTTTCGAGGGCTGCTGGTGGGTCCTGCGGAGCGATGCACCGCGCAGATCTGAGCGGGACCTCGCCGTCCCTGGGTGGCTGCGATCTGCGAAACCGTCGCCACTTTCGAGGGCTGCTGGTGGTCCAGCGGGGTGAGGCACCGTGAAGACCTGAACGGGACCTCGCCGTCCCTGGGGGGCTGCGATCTGCGAAACCGTCGCCACTTTCGAGGGCTGCTGGTGGGTCCAGCGGAGTGATGCACCGCGCAGATCTGAGCGGGACCTCGCCGTCCTTGGGGGGGCTGCGATCTGCGAACCTGTCGCCACTTTCGGGGGCTGCTGGTGGGTCCAGCGGAGTGAGGCATCGCGCAGATCTGAGCGGGACCCCGCCGTCCCTGGGGGGCTGCGATCTGCGAAACCGTCGCCACTTTCGATGGCTGCTGGTTGGCCCAGCGGAGTGAGGCACCGCGTAGATCTGAGCAGAACCTCGCCGTCCCTGGGGGTCTGCGATCTGCGGAACCGTCGCCACTTTCGAGGGCTGCTTTGGGGGCCAGCATAGCGATCTGCGAAACTGTCGCCTTTTTCGAGAGCTGCTGGTGGGTCCAGCGGGGTGAGGCACCGCGCAGATCTGAGCGGGACCTCGCCGTCCCTGGGGGGGCTTGCGATCTGCGAAATTGTCGGCACTTTCGGGGGCTGCTTGTGGGTCCAGCGGGGTGAGGCACCGCGCAGATCTGAGCGGGACCTCGCCGTCCCAGGGGGCTTGCGATCTGGGAAATTGCCACCACTTTCGAAGTCTGCTTCGGGGGCCAGCATCGCGATCTGCGAAACCGTCGCCACTTTCAATGGCTGCTGGTGGGTCCTGCGGAGTGAGGCACCGCGCAGATCTGAGCGGGACCCCGCCGCCCCTCGGGGGCTGCGATCTGCGAAACCATCGCCACTTTCGGGGGCTGCTGGTGGGTCCAGCGGGGTGAGGCGCCGCGCAGATCTGAGCGGGACCTCGCAATCCTTGGGGGGTTGCGAGCCTCACAAATGCGGATCGCAGAAGTATGTGCGCCCATGTCACGCCATCACCCCCATATAACGCGTTCCCAAGCTAGTCATGCCCCGCATTGCGCAGGGGTTGGGTACGTCGCCAAGGTAATGTTTGTGGCATGGATGGGGGGGGGCGCATCGGGCTGGCCGCGCATGCTCCACATGTGGAGGCAGAGTGCCGCTTGTGTTGTTCGCAACCCGCCTTGGCTGGGCATTCGTTTTGAATGGAGCACTGATCGCGCGTCATCCTCCCGCCTCCCGCCTCCTGTCTCTTCTTGCCGAATGCGTACCTCTTCTGTGTGTGTGCATCTTGCCTGCGGTACCTCTTGTGTGTGCATCTTGCCTGGTGGGGGCTGTGATCTGCGAAACTGTCACCACTTTCGAGGGGTGCTGGTGGGTCCAGCGGAGTGAGGCGCCGCGCAGATCTGAGCGGGTTCTCGCCGTCCCGGGGGGCTGCGATCTGCGAAGCTGGGGCCAGCGAAGTGAGGCACCGCGCAGATCAGAGCGGGACCTCGCCGTCCCTGGGGGGTTGCGATCTGCGAAACCGTCGCCACTTTCGAGGGCTGCTGGTGGGCCCAGCGAAGTGAGGCACCTTGCAGATCTGAGCGAGACCTCGCCGTCCTTGGGGGGGCTGCGATCTGCGAAACCGTCGCCACTTTCGAGGGCTGCTGGTGGGTCCAGCGGAGTGAGGCACCGCGCAGATCTGAAGGGGATTCGCCGTTCCTGGGAGGCTGCGATCCGCGAAACCGTCGCCATTTTCGAGGGCTGCTGGTGGGTCCAGCGGGGTGAGGCACCTTGCAGATCTGAGCGGGACCTCGCCGTCCTTGGGGGGCTGCGATCTGCGAACCTGTCGCCGCTTTCGAGGGCTTTTGGTGGGTCCAGCGGAGTGAGGCACCGCGCAGATCTGAGCGGGACCTCGCCGTCCCTGGGGGGCTGCGATCTGCGAAACCGTCGCCACTTTCGAGTGCTGGTGGCGGGTCAAGCGGAGTGAGACACCACGCAGACCTGAGCGGGACCTCGCAATCCTTGGGAGACTGCGAGCCTCACGAATGCCGCTCGCAGCAGTAGATGCGCCCATGTCACGTCATCACCTCCGTACAATGTCTCCCAAGCTACTCATGCCCCACATTGCGCAGGGGTTGGGTACGTCGCCAGGGTAAGTTTTTGACAGGGATGGTGGGGGGCGGGTCGGCATGGTGTCGGCAAGGTGTCGGCATGGTGCCTGGTTGGCCCCCGGTCACTGGGGGAGGTGGTGTATATTAAGAAGGAACAGTGATAAGCCCCTCCCCCGAGCAGGGGAAGGAGGTTAGCTTTGGCGGAGAGAAGACGAACTCGATAAACCACCTACGCCCAGAGGGCTGGTGGGATTTGGACTCCAAGTTTCTGCATGTGTGTGTGTTTGCCTTTTCTGGGCCTCGAGGAGCTTCTCGTCGCCGAGGCTGGATCCGCCTTGGAATTCAGGTCCAAACGCACCCCAGAACGGGCCCAGGGGCCAGTTTTGACCCATGGACTCAGACATCCGCGCGCCGAAACAGAGACCCGCGGACTGTGCTACCCTGCGGCATCCAGGGGCCCCTGCCGGTCCACCACGAGGCAGGCCCCCGGGAGCGGGTCCCGACGCCTCGACCCGTGGGGAGCCGCGCTGCGAATGGAAGCACGACGCCGGCTGTCTGGGGCGAAGGGTTTTTTTGCAATCCTTCGTTTTTTTGCAATCCTTCGGTTTTTTTTTGCAATCCTTCGGTTTTTTTTGCAATCCTTCGTTTTTTTGCAATCCTTCGTTTTTTGCAATCCTTCGTTTTTTGCAATCCTTCGCTCGCTCTGCTCCGACCTCTGTGGCATGGCATCTGCAGGCAGGTCCGGGCACTGCCGCGGCCGGTGCCCCCAGCCAGAGATCACAATCGTTCGAGGTGGGGCGGTCCTCGTGGTGCCAGTGGGCCGGTGCCAAAGTCATCTCGACGGGAACCCGCCGTACACCCACGCATGCGCGAGACCTGCTCTGAGGCCGTCAGTCCACGCAGCTCGGGGACGCCCGGGTGCACCAGCGCTGGCCTGCACTCTGGGGCAGCGTTCGGGGAGGGGGGGGGGATAGGCTAGGGGGGGGACACACCGACCCCCACATCGCGCATTGATCGCCGCTACGGGCCCGATGGCCCGCCCCACTCAGGAACGTGCGGCTTTGGCTGCGCTGTTGGGGCCTATCGCCTGTCCGTCGGCGATGCATCGCCGATACCAGCTCGATGGTCCTCACACTTGCCTTCCCCCAGAGAGAGAGAGAGAGAGAGAGACAGAGAGAGAGAGAGAGAGAGAGACAGAAGGAGGGAGAGGACGGATGGAGCTAGGACGAGGATGAGTCAGTTCCAGAGCGTTCCGGCGCTCTGAGAGGGCCGCGCCCGAGACGTCCTCCAGAGCCGCCAGAGCTCAGAGATTCTCGATTTATCCGCACCCGAACTTATCCTCGTCCTGGCTTCGTCTGGAGGAGGAGTAGGAGGAGGAGGAGGAGGAGGAGGAGGAGGAGGAGGCAGCGGAGGATCAGGAGGAGAAGGAGGAGGTGGAGGGGGAGCAGGCGGAGGCGGAGGCGAAGTAGGATTAGGAGAGGAGGAGAAATATGAGGAGGAAGAGGAAGAGGAAGAGGAGGAGGAGGAGGAGGTGGAGGAGGAGGAGGAAGATTTCTGCCTCACCCGATGCTCTACTCGCCTTGGCTTGGCATTAGGAAGAGGGCTGCCGGTCGTTCCGTGCGCGGGCCTCGTCGCCCGTCTCTGCTGGCGAGCGTGGCTCACCTCCACCGGGCTCACCGCCCCCCCCCCAGGGAGCGAGAGATGCGGGCGCCTCGGCCCGCCGAGGAGGAGCCTCTCTCGTCGAGGCGCTCCTTGGCACCGCTCGGACGAGTGCCTTCCCTCCTCCTTCTCATCCTCTTCCTCCTCCTCCTTCTCCTCCTCCTCCTCCTCCTCTTCCTCCTCCTCCCCCTCCCCCTCCTCCTTCTCCCCCTCCTCCTCCTCCTCCTCCTCCTCCTCCTCTCCTCCTCCTCTCCCCCTCCTCCTCCTCCTCCTCCTCCTCCTCCTCCTCCTCCTCCTCCTCTTTCTCCTTCTCCTTCTCCTCCTCATCCTCTTCCTCCTCCTCCTTATCTTCCTCGTCCTCCTCCTCCTCTTCCCCCTCCTCCTCCTCTTCCTCCTCCTCCTCCTCCTCCTCCTTCTCCTCCCCCTCCTCCCCCTCCTCGCGCGCAGGCAGTGCCTGCGGTGGGAGCAGGGTCCTGACGGCTGCGCCTTTCCTCGGCGAAGACCCTCGAAGACCCTCGAAGGCCTCCCTTTCGAGGATCGAAGGAGTTGTCGTCTCTTCCGCCGCGGAAGGCGGCGGGAGAGCGGCGGAAGGTCGGCGGAAGTAACGCGAGGCCGTCTCCGCCGGCGGAAGCCGGCGGAGGACTGGCGCAAGGCGGCGGAAGTAACAGATGCGCCCCCCCAGAGATGAGGACTTGTTTGGGGTTCAGGGTTTCCGAAATTTGCCCTCCGGGACCATCTTGCGAGCCACGAAAAACGGACGACATCGAAACACGCACAGGAAAAGGGACGTCTGAGCGATGGCGAGGCTCCGGCCAGAGTCGGGAGCGTTTTTGCTCCGCGTGCGGGGCTCCGCAGGCGCTGGCCCGCTACGCTCCGGCGCGACACGCCAAGCACGTCCTCGAGGCCAGGCAGCACGACAAGCAACGCCAGGCCGTGCAGAGCAGATGCCAAGGAGTTTCGAGTTGCTTAACACTTGGGGGGGCTTTCCCAAGTTGGAGTCGCGCTCATTCCTCCTCCCCCTCCGCCTCTTCCTCCTCCTTCTCCTCCTTCTCCTCCTCCTCCTGATCCACCGACCCCCCCTCCTCCCCCTGTCTCTTTGGCTTGCCCTTCCTCCTCCTCCTCCTCCTCCTCCTCCTCATCATCATCATCATCATCACCACCACCACCACCACCACCACCACCACTTCCACCACCACCACCTGCCTCTCACCCGCCCTCCGAGGCCTCGCGGCGTCGTGCCAGCCCCGGCGTGTATCGCCAAGAAGCGGACGGAGGATCTGCCCCATTTCGAGCGGGGGAGCTCCTCCCCAAGCCCAGAGGAGAAGAAGGTACCCATATTGCTACCCTTCCCTCGCTCTCCGATTTTTGGGCCTCCTGGGAGGACCTCGTCGCCACCGCCGGATTCGTCTCCACGTCCTGGCCAGGGCGCGCCCTGGGAGAGGTCCAGGGAGCAGCGGCATCGATGCAGCTCGGCCTCCCTACCAGAAAAAAAACGCCCCTACCCTGGTTTACGAGGCGCTGTGCGCTGAAACTCCTGTGGGCTGACAGGGTAAACCCTGCGTGATGTGCCGCGTCCTGGCGGCTCTAGGCTTTGGGGGTTCCCAGGAGGTCTACAGACCACGCACTTGTAACCCAGGGTAGGGCCGGTAGGGTCGTTTTTTCATCCCTCAGTCGCAGGCGTTCCGAGACCGAATCCGAATCCTCCCTGCCGCGCGCGTGCCCGGCACCAGCCCCGCGGGCTGGAGCGGACCCAGCCATTCGGCCGCTACTGTTTTTTGACGCGTGGGCCCCGGAGGTCCAGACCACTTCCCCAGGGGACGGCTTTTCGTCCTGAGTCGTCTTTTGATGCTCGCGAGGCCCGGCGAGGGCCCCCAGAGGCCGGAAACTGCCAAAATCCCGCCGCTCCATTTTTGTTGGAGCGCCGGATCTAAAGCGAGGCGCGTCATGGTCTACGCCCTGGGCGTGACGCAGCACCACAGCTGCGTCCTCGCCATGCGGGCGCCCAGAGACAAGGAGGGGGCGGCGCGCCCGCGCGGCGTCGTCGCCAGCGGCGTCGTCGCAGCTTCTGCTCCGTCCTGCTGCTGCCTCTCGTCCGCCCCCTTCCCATCCCTGCTTCACCAGCCTCGAACTGATCCCCATACCTAAGAGTGACACGCCAAAAGGCGACGACAATCTTAGGGATGCGCCCTCAGAAGCTAAGGGAACCCCTGAGATCGGCATCGTGAGGAGACCATGCCCAGCATAGGTAAGCCACGCGCAGAGGGGGGTGGGGGGAGGGGGGAGGGCTTCTTAGAAGCACCCCTGTTTCTTAGAAGGCGCGGGCCTTACCTACAGATGTAAGAATGGCGCCTTCTAAGAAGCAGCCTCCTTCTAAAAAGCCCTCCCGCCTCCCTCTACCCCCTTGTGCGCGCCGCCAAAATACTGATATGGATATGTTCCAGGCTGGCAGCTTTCCTTTGTTTCCTGTGCTCCTTCCTCCGTTCCGCCTTTCCCTGCACATCCCGTCCTTTCTGTGTCTGGCCCCTCCCTCCCGTCCTCTTGCCTCTCGTGTATCTCTTGCTCCCCATGTTCCTCCTCCCCCCCTCCTCCTTCTCCTCCCTGTCCTGCTCCTCCTCCTCCTCCTCCTCCTCCTCCTCTTCCTCTTCCCTTTCACCCCCACCCCTTCCCATCTTCCTCCCCTCCTTCCCCCTCTTCCCCTCCTTTTCGGCCGCCCATCTTCCGCCTCATCCTTTTGCCCTTCAGCCGGGGCCACAACAAAAACGCGTAGCCTCCTGGCGACGCGAGAAAACAAGACTGGAAACGAAAGGCTTCTGGACTCCGAGAACGACGCGGCAGAAATTATGTGTGAAAGCGGAGAACGAATGACGCCCGCGAGGTTCTATTCAGTTAGAGCAGCGCCGACGGAAAACGAATGGGCGCGGCGGGAAGTTAGTACTCAAGAAGACAAAGGCGAACAACGATTCGGCCAGAAAAGGTTAGGAGTTTGGTTTCTCGTGCGCCGGGATAGTATGTGGGCTCGTGCGGCCCAATGGTGCTCGGAAAGGTTTCCTCCCTGTCCTTCTTTTCCTCTTCGGGAGGGAGTGGGGTATGCAGGGTGTAATTGGATGGTGTCTGGACGAAAAATTGCTCGAGCGATCGACGACGACGACGACGTACGACGACGGAACACAGAACACGGAAGAGTTCGGAAGCGGTTAGGACGAGGATCAAATCCGTTCCAAAGCGCTCCGGAACACTTTCAGAGCGTTCAGGAACCCTCCAGGAAGAGCGCAGCGTCCGAGACATCCTCCAGAAACCGCCGAATCTCAGAGATTCTCGACTTATCCTCACCTGAAATTTTCCTCGCCCTGGCTTCGTCTTAAGAGTCCGGCATGAAGGAAGTGGGTCCTGAGAGCGACGGGCCCCCCCCTCCGGGGGACCACCCGTTGGCCAGAGCCGTCTCTGGGCGCTGTCGGGTGCCTCGGACTGGGCTTCCTTGGAGCCCGAAGACGAGGACAGCCTCCTGCGCGTAGCCAGGCAGGGACCTTTGGCGCGCGCCTTTCGAGAGGCGCGTGGGGGTGTAGGTCGGCGGCGAGCGAGGGGCGGAAGTGAGAAGGAAGAGGCCTTCTCAGGAAGGCAGCGAGACTTCTCAGAAGGCCTTCCTCCGGCCTTCCGAGAGGTGTTCTGCGTCTTCGGAGAAGAGGGAAGCCATAGGAAATTTCTCAGAAGGGCCTTCTCAGAAGGCCCGCCCCTTCTCACTTCCCCTCTGGGCTCACCGCCGAATGGGGGGGGTAGGAGGAGGAGGAGGAGCAGCAGCAGGAGGAGGAGGAGCAGGAGGAGCAGGAGGAGGAACAGGAGGGAAAGGAGGAGGAGGAGGAGCAGGAGGAGGAGGTGGAGGAGCAGAAGGAGGAGGAGGAGGAGTAGCAGGAGGAGCAGGGAGTTGAGGAGGAGCAGGCGGAGCAGGCGGAGTAGGAGGAGGAGGAGGCGGCGGAGGAGGAGGAGGAGGAGGAGAAGGAAGGAGGAGGAGGAGGAGGCGGAGAGTAGGAGGAGGAGGGGGAGCAGGAGGGGAGCAGGAGGAGGAGGAGGAGCAGGAGCAGGAGGAGCAGGAGGAGGAAAGAGGAGGAGGAGGAGGAGGAGGAGGAGGAGAGGAGCAGGAGGAGCAGGAGAGCAGCAGGAGGAGGAACAGGAGGAGGAGGAGGAGGAGGAGGAGGAGGAGCAGGAGTTTCAGGAGGAGCAGGAG